TCCAGGTTTGCCAAATCAGGCATCCCTCACTGGTTAAACCTGTTTGTGATGCTGAGCATCAATCCTGACTTGAATTTGAGTTCTTCAAAGATTGTTATAGAGGGGTTCAGTTATAAATACATTTTGAAGAGCCAAGGCTTCTACTCTGTGGAAGTGCCCTTTCCTGAGTACAGCATTTTCCCAAGCTAAACAGTTTCCACAAAGCCCCCTTCACATGCCTGTTCCTCAGGCTGTAGATAAAGGGGTTCAGCATGGGGGTGACCATTGTGTATATCACAGATGCCACCACTCTAAAATCTGCTGAATAGGAGGATGAGGGCTGGAAATACACCAGGAAGAGGGTACCATAGAATACGGTGACCACTGTCAGGTGAGAGCCACAGGTGGAGAAGACTTTATGCTTCCTCCCAGCAGAGGGGATCCTGAGGATGGTGTGCATGATGTGGGTGTAAGAGACCAGGATGCAGGTGAGAGGTATAATACCTGAGAGAATTGCTTCAGTTAACATTGTGACCTGAAAGGTATGGGTGTCTGAACAGGCAAGCTTGAGGAGTGGGGGTACATCACAGAAGAAATGTGGGATGGAGCGGGAGGCACAGAAGGAGAGCTGAGCCATCTGGAGAGTGAGGGAAAAGGCCAGGAGGTTGGAGCAGAGCCAGGACATGGCCACCAGCAGCAGGCAACACTGGGGATGCATGACCATGGTGTAGTGCAGAGGCAGGCAGATGGCTACATAGCGGTCATACGCCATGACAGCCAGCAGGAAGTCATCCAGTAACGTCAATGTCATAAAGAAGTACATCTGCAGGAGGCACCCAGTGTGGGAGATGGTGTGCTGCTGCATGTGGATGTTCACCAGCACCTTGGGGACGATGGTGCAGGTGAAGCAGGTATCGATGAAGGACAGGTTGGCCAGGAAGAAGTACATGGGTGTGTGGAGGTGTGGGTCAGAGCCAATGGCCAGGATGATGAGCAGGTTGCCCAGCAGGGTGACCAGGTACATGCCCAGGAAGAGCCCAAACAGGAGAGGTTGCTGCTCTGGGTGCTCAGAGAAGCCCAGGAGCAGGAAGTCAGAGTTGGTGCTTTGGTTTTTTACTTCCATTCAAAGTAGAACAATTTGTGAAAAACATTGGTTACATGTATATAGACTTCAAAAATTTGTAGTATTTAAGGCCTTTCATCTGTTTTCTGTGATTTTCTTAAAGATCACAGAGATACATTGGTGTCTCTTGGTGCCAGGCATATAAACATGTCAAGAGGGGAGAATTCTGTAAGATAATAAAGGAGATGTTGTTGGGAGTGAGTTTTGTATTTAGTTATCTAGTAAGTTGTTCTGTAGACCTCCTCAATGAGATTGATCTGGAGTTTGGCTAGGAAGAACCTTTCTAAATCAGTCTCCCCTCTCCTCTTTCTCTTTTATTAGGAAAACTATCAGTTTTGAAGGATTGCAAAAGTTGATTCTGATATATATAGGCATATGTATTTAGTAAAAATTTATCAAGAAGGGTGTGTGTGTGTGGGCGTTTGGGAGAGAAGAGGTAATGATTTACATGGATGGGTCATTGCTGGGTCTCAGATACTCTTGATATAATGGAATTATAAACTTTCTCTTTCTTATGTAGACCCAACAAATGAGATTATGTGGACAAAACATCTTTATAGTACATAGCACATAGAACCTGGGCACCATTATTACACAGTTACAAAGTGTTGGCATTGCCAGGAACTTGGATATGGCTGATCTGTCTTAACTTTAGGCTGATTCCCAGGGAGGCCATGAATATTAAATTAAGTCATGAAGATTAGTAAATCCACTTGTATTTGGCTGAAAATGAGGAAGGGAAAGAAAAGGAGGAAGGAAGAGAAGTTGTGTGTGTGTGTGTGTGTGTGTGTGTGTGTGTGCATGCAAGTGCATGTGTGTATATGAGAGAGAGAGAAGAGGAGAAGAGGAGAAGAAAAGAGACTAATATCTTCCAACTTTGCCAGCTTTTACCTGGAAATGACTGATTCTTACCTGGAAGTTGTGGCCATCCTCAGAGCCTGTCACCACCTCTGGGTGTTGGGTCTGCCTTCCTGCTTCATCTGCGTCCCTGCTTCTCCTTGAGAGGACTAGTAGAAGCCAGACTTGGTGGCTGAGGAAGCAACCTGTCCTCGGGAACAGGAGCAGGGAAGAGCTCTGGGCTTTTCATATGCAGTTGTCTCCTGAGACCCAAGCCCAGACCTAGTTAGAGACAAGATGGGGCACAGGTCCAACTCCCACCTGTCCCCTCTGGGCCTGGAGTCCTGAGTCCTAACAGTATCAGGAGCATTTTTCCATCAGATTCAGGGTCTGGGAATCCTGAGATAACTTCTCCGGTGCTCCTTCCCTAAGGCAAAGCAGTGGGAGGGCTCATCTTCTCCCACCCTAACTTGCCATGGAATCCTCACATTCTAACAGATTCCAATCCTCAGGAAGAAACCCTGTCATCTCCCAGCAAATACCTAATGACCAGTAGGTAGAACAGACCTGGTATGGGATGGGCAGCATAATCACTGTGTCCAGATGGCTACAGAGCTATCATATAGAAAAAGTAAACAGACTTGATCCCTGTGACTCCAGAGGAAGACATGTGACTCCATGTATAAAATATGCAGAGGTTATAGGCACTTCTCCATGAAAGATTTTGAAAAAAATTAAAACAGTAGAATGATATCAAAAATGTATAGGATAAGCAGGAATGATTTTCTTGTGGTTTTACCTTCAATCATATATACGTAAATCATTCACTATTTATGTCTGCCTATGTTTGTCCTTTCCATGAATGGAATCCTTATTCGTCTTTCAGTCAATATGATGTGTTGTGTCCCCCTGTCTATAGCATGGTACTAGGGATTGAACTCAGGGCCTTGTAAATACTAGGCAAGCACTGAGCTATATCCCCAGCCCCTTTTTGTTTTTATTTTGAGACAGGGACTTGCTAAGTTGCCCAGTCTGGCCTCAAACTTACACTCTTCCTGCCTCAGCCCTCTGAGTCACTGGGATTACAGTGCACCACAGTGCCCAGTTCAATCTGAAGTTTTCGAAATTCATGTTGATACCTGTAATTCAGGTCACTTTTTTCTGCCACTATGCAGTAAGTTTCATATTATACTTCTCTCTATTATTAGGGAATTTTTGCTTTGGAATGCAGAATGTTTCAATTTAGAAAAGAATATTGTGCATATATCATCTGTTATGTGGTATCCATAGTAGGTTCTGAGGTTGTGCATTATAATAAAACATAGTAATATTTTGGCAAATAAATGCTCATATCAAGCTGGATAAAAGGACACATACCAATCTGGGTCAGGTTTTGCTACAAAATAAGTTTGCTGAAACTCTTTCATTGATTTAAAAAAAATCTTTATTTTATTTATTTATTTTTATGTGGTGCTGAGGATTGAACCTAGTCCCTGACACTTGCTAAGCAAGCACTTTACCACTGACTTACAACCCCAGCCCACTTTCATTGATTTTTGGATTCCAGGATTGTAGCAAATGGATGTGGGCTTCCATTCCTTTGTGAGATTATTACCATAATGTATCTATGTGAATGTTTGAATGTTGATGAACATTTGGGTTGGTTGTCATGTTTTTGCCATTATTTAAACAGTTTATTATCTCAATTGTGATAATAAATTTAGAACTCCTTCTTATCTTATAAAAATACAACCATAAAAAAACAAGAAAAAAAACCCATAAGAAGTGAAGTCTAAAAAAAAATGCAGAAATGGCATTTAAATAAGTGGAACCTGGCCTTCTATATTGTTTATTTCTTCTCAAAAAAACGTCCGGCATCAAATAGGAGAAACATTTTGAGACTACCTCTTCTAAAGAAAACATCAATAATAATGATGATAATAACAATAAATCAGTTCTTTGTTCTGTTATTGATATTTTAATGATTGCTCAAGACTTATTATTTCAATAAAAATGGCCAGAAAATGTATATTTTGTTCCCTTTTACTCTTATCTTAAGTTAGATTTTTTTTATAAGTGAGAAAGTAAAACCATAATAAAGCCAGAATATAATGTTTTTCCATTTCAAAGTTATGCCATAAACATCTTGTACGGTTTTCTGGTGCACCTGCTTAAAAGTCTCTATAGTTTGAATCAAACTATAGAGAAATGTCCACTGGATCATTGCTTAGTGCATTAGTTCAAGGTTTTCTGAGAAGCAGATGTCAAGATGTAATTAGATGTATGTATTAGTCTTCCGAGGAAAAGATCAAATAGGATATTTATAGATATATAGAAAGAAAGTTATTATTGGGAGGGATTGTCTGACATGATTATGGAGGCTAAGAAGTCCTGTGCTTACCCAGGAAAGTCAGGAGTACAGCTCAAGCTTACCGACCCCAGAACCCAGGAAGCCAGTAGTGTCAGTCCCAGTCCAAGTTTGAAGGACTGAGAACTAATAGAGCCAAAGTGCAAGGGTGGAAAAAGGTGGATGTCATAGCTCAAGAATCAATTCACCTTTCTTCTGCTTTTTTGTTCAGTTTGGTCCTTGAGTAGATTGGATGGTACCCACATGCATCAGTGAGAGTGATCTTCTACACTCAAGGCTACACCCAAGTCAAATGGTAACCTCTCTGGAAAGAGCTTTAGAGACACATTGGGCATCCGTTAGCTCAGTCAAATTGAGGAGTTAAAAATCAGCCTCCACAAATGTGGGGAGGGAGCAGGAGAAATCTCTCATATTTGGTTTGAAGAACAGAGGGAATGAAGGAAGATTGGGGTAGGAAGAAAGTCTTGGATTGCAATGGAGTACCAAGAAAGTTTTGGCCAATTGTGCATTCTAGAATCAAAGTTATCCATCTGAAGAGTTCCCTGTTTCTCTGGAATGGGCCTGCCTTGGTGCCTCTGCAATGTCCAATGACTGTCCAGGAGCAGCCTGTGTAAATGTGACACCGGGGCACACTGTGGTGTTTGGTTGTTGAGTCAACAATGAAGCTTCTGGAGATAGTAAAACATATACATTCTATTCTGTTTTTCTAGCCAGCTTTCTCAAAGCCTGTTTTATATCCTTGTTTCGAAGGCTGTAGATGAAAGGGTTCAGCATGGGAGTAACTATTGTATAGATGACAGTGACCACACGGTCCTTTGTCACTGAGTAGGTAGATGAGGGACGAATGTACACAGATATTATGGTCCCATAAAATAGTGCCACAACTGTGAGGTGGGATCCACAGGTGGAGAAGACCTTGTACCTGCCTCCCCCGGAAGGGACCCTCAGAACAGCCCGGGTGATGTAGACATACGAGACAATAATGAAAATGAAAGGACTCATGATCACAAAGGAGCCCTCTGTGAAGGCCAAAAGTTCATTGACAGAGGTGTCAGAGCAGGAGAGGGTCAGCAGTGGCTGGACATCACAAAAGAAGTGATGGATGACATTGGGGCCACAGAAGGAAAGGTGGCCCATGAGAATTGTGTGGGCAAGTGAGTGGAGGTGGGACACCACCCACGATGCAGTCACCAGCAGGAGACAGCACCTGGGGCTCATGGTTGTAGTGTAGTGCAGTGGGTTACAGATGGCGACGTAGCGGTCAATGGCCATGGCAGCCAGGAGAAAACTGTCAGTGATACCAAAGGCCACAAAAAAATACATCTGGGTTAGGCAATGGGCAAAGAGGATGGTCTTTCTCTGTGTCAGCATGCTCACTAACATCTGTGGCACGATGACAGTGGTGAAGCAGATGTCCACCAGGGACAGGTTGGAGAGGAAAAAGTACATGGGAGTGTGTAAGTGTGCATCCCCCCAGATGGCTGCAATGATGACCGAGTTGCCAACCACATTGACCAGGTACATGGCGAGGAAGCTGGAAAAAAGCCATACTTGTTGTCTGGCATCAGTGGTCAGTCCTAGAAGGAGGAATTCAGTCACATGACTCTGGTTTGCCCTCAGCATTGCTGTCCTACAAGTAAAAAATGTGAAGGGATGTTAGAGCATCAGGGAGCCATTCATGGAGGCCACCAGTTAGTCAGTGATACAGCTTCATAGCATTGGTGCTGGCATACTTTGATTTCACTTCCAGTTTTGCAACTAATGGTGCAAACTTGAGCACTTGAGCTCTTGCTCCTCGTTCAAAAGACAAAACTTATGACATTCACATTCTTTGGCTATTTTGGGGATAAATGGTAAAGATTATGGAAGGGTATTCAGAAAGTAATTATTTTGCTCAGTGTCCAAAGGTGTTGTATATATGACACATAATTTTTCCTCTGCGTTGATGCAGTTGCTTCTTCTCTGTGCAGTCGTTACCTGATCCTTCTGGGGAGGACTGCCTTCTTTCTTCTCTTCCTCTGTAAGAGCAGGTGGGGTATCCTAATTTTTTCCTGCAGAAATCACACAAACATTTGTAGGGACTGTATTCCTGAATCAAAACCATCTTGGAAGAGGTATACTTATTTGGGAGTTTAATCATGTGTAGAAAGGTCACACTTGGAGAGGCTGGGACCTGGACATTTGACATGTTCCTCAGGGTGTGAAACTGTCTAGGGTGGGTGGGAGGTTGGAGATCGACTTCTAGAAGAAGTTAGTCTACTTACCCAACATTGGGCTTGGTGTTTCACACAGGTGGGTGGAATTAAGGAAGACACAGAGGAACTAAGAGATGCATGCCCTTATGAGCAAGAAGAGTCTAAAAGGCAGAAGTGTGGGAAATGTGAGAAGTTATTATATATTATGGCAAAATACAGCAAGAGGTGAGAATAGGAGGGTCCTGAGTTCAGGAATTGGTTCCTCATCTCCATAGAAACAAGTCCAGGGAGAATAGGTCAAGGCTCTAATCTGGCAGAAATTGAATCACTAGTTACCCATTTGCCTAAGTAGAGAAAAAAAAGATCAGAAAGCCATCAGGGCATAATGTTAGAACAAACCAGGAACCTACCGGGCTGAAATTAAGACCCCTGAGTATCAGAGCACATCCTCTTTATGCCTACTCACCAAGGGACAGGCCTGGCTTTGCAGAAGAGAGAATGGAAAAGGGATCATGTAAGTGGTGGTGTGGTAACCTCAGATACATGAGGGCAGAGTTAGGGAGGCAGGTTCTCAGTTAAAGTCCACATCCTGTACTTTCTATCTCCTCCTCATCTTTTTGGTACTTTTGACAATGAGTCAAAAGCAAACCCAAATTATAGTGGTGTGTTTTTTATTCCCCCGCACCCTGCCAAAGAAATTGTCTTTAATGCTACTCAAGTATTTAATTAAATGCTTATATCAAACACACAGTCTGAAACAAGAAATTAAATGTTTTCCTTAAGAACATCTGCTAGCCCCATCTGGCTTTTTCAAATATTTAAAACTAAATTGGAATTAGAAAAAAATTATAGTTTTAGCAGAAATGAAATTCCATGGCAGTTTATGGTGTACATGGGGTGCTTTATTTAGGTTATTGGGGGTGGGCATGGGAAAAAGTTGGGAGATGGGTGTTTGTGGTGATGAATTTGAGGGTGGTACCTTTAAAAGGACACTTTCTAGTAAGTTCAGGCTGTCCTCCAGGGTCTCACTCCTATTGCTTATCTCATAAGTAAATGGGGGAAGCTTTCGTTAAGACTCGCCATGGTGATTATCACCAAAGACACTTGTTGTGGTTTTGTGTATATAAAAAAACCAACATAATTGGTTTAATCAGTAGGAAAAAAGGACAGTTAAAAACTAGCTATCCAAAGAACAACAACTGTCCGTGAGACTGATTTGTCTCCTTGTTCACTAACAGTACTGAAGCACATAGCTGAAGTCATCTGATACTCAACAAAGATGCCAAAAAAACATATGTTGGAGAAAGGATAGCCTTTTAAACAATTGGTGCTGGGAAAACTGGATATCCATATGTAGAAGAATGAAACTAGAACCCTATCTCACCCTGCACAAAAGTCAATTCAAAGTGGATGAAAGACCTAGGAATTAGACCAGAAACTTTGCAACTGCTGGGAGAAAGCATAGGGTCAATACTCCAACATGTTGATACAGGTACCATCTTCCTTAGCAAGACCCTTAAAGCTCAAGAAATATAACAAGAATCAGTAAGTGGGATGGCACCAAATTAAAAAACTTTGGCACAGCAAAGGAAACAAGAGCATGAAGGGAAAGCCTACAAAATTGGAGAAATCTTTGCCAGGTATTTCTCTGACAGGAGGTTAGTATCCAAAATACACAGCAGTGTGTTTCTAAACCTCAGTAATCTTAAACTCATTGCTCTGCTCAGGAGAACCCAGGCTTTTTCTCTTTTAAAAGTTTAGCAAGGATATGCATCACAGTACTTTTGCTGAAACATCTTTTCTCTCTGAGATGCTTGGTGCTGGTCTATTTTGGATCCTTCCACTTTAGGAGAGGGGCTTCTAAGATGTGGACAACATCTGGAGTGGTGCATGATGAAAATTCTTCAAAGGCAGGATCAGAGTCTGCTTTGCTCGTCACTGTTTTCCAGTTCCTTTCATGGTACCTGACACATAATAGTTGCATAAAAAAACTCACCAATGGACAGATTGAAGCGGCTATATCTCCTTTAATAGGACTTTGAAAATTATGAGTTTTTACATAAGTAACTGGGAGACTAAACTCCTAGAATCAGGAAAGCCAATGGGAAAAGTTCATGAGTTCTGCCAGGGGATATGAGTTTTGTGTTCCGGTTCAAATATTTTTTTTAGCTGTTTACCCATGGGAGAAAAATCTTTATGCTTCTATTTTTTTTCTTAGTTGAAAAATAGGGAAATTAAAACGTCTTCTTGAGAAGTTTATTGTTAAAATAAGACACACATTTGTATCTTATGTGTTGAAGTCCACAATGTTCTATATGAATTTTACTTGTACAAACAATAAGATTTCTTATTATTTAGCTAAACTTAATTGTGTGCAACTGAAAAATAGTGGATGAAATCTAAAGGAAACCAGGTAGCAGTAAAAGGGGCTAATGTGTTTGAAAAGGGTTGCAAGGAGGTGATTGAAACAGTCATTGGAAGGAGTGCAGCATCCAGGCTGAAGAGGGCAATAGAGAAACATGCTGCAGACCTGGGATACACTGGATTTTCCCAGGAAGAGAAGGAAAAGGACAAAAGTCGTCAAGGATTTTCTGTTCCTTAGGACAGTTCTTACAGGAGTGTGTTTTAGTGGTCTCTGACTGCTGCAATAAATTACCATAAACTTAGTGGCTTAGCAAAGCTCAAGTTTGTTTCCTTGCGTTGTATAGATCAGAGGTCTGATATGGGTGTTATTGGTCTAAAAATCAAGGTGTTGACAGGCTGTATTCCTTCTAGCCTCTTCTAGCTTCTAGTGACTGCCCGTATTTCTTGGCTAGTCATCCCCTTTGTCCATCTGCAAGTCCAGCAATGTTGAGGGAATTCTCATGCTGCCATCT